CTGATTGAGACTGAGTTGTCTGGAGGATGTTGGGAGACCTGGCTCTCTTCTTCGGCCTGAATGAGGAATTCGGGTGTTATTTTCACATACAAGTGCAGGTCCGTTTCCTCTCATAGGTGTAACCCTGGCGCACACCAGTTGCTCGACTGCTTCTGTTAGTCTTTCACACTTCTTCAGTAGCACAGTTAGACAGCTAACAACTGGGATAGCACTGCATACTTGGCAGAACCAAAACGCCTCTGTCGTGTTATTGTACCGTCTTGTTTTTATCGGCCTCGTCCCAAGGCATTTAGTAGGATAGGTATTCAAGCAACTGCTGCACACTAGCCGACCCTTCACAAATTTAATAGTCAATTCACACCTGCTCTTAACGTGAGACATGTTCGCAGAGGGCGTGCAGGTTGAAGGTCATGCGGTTGTCGGATGATCAGTTAGTGCCGCTTTCTGCGTCAACGATAGGCATGTGTCAGCGTGGCGCACTCGCCGTCACCAGTGATCCCTTGTAAGCACACGTTTCCGTGTTGAGCACTTGATTGATCGATGTTAGGCCCGGCTGGTTTGGGACCTAGTAAATGAATTTAAAAACAACGCCAAAAACAGATGGAGAGACCACGAATTCTTTCACAGCTGGGTTGAGAAACACCGGATTAAAATAAGCTTGGGCTTATGGACTGCCTTGAGAATTCTGTACCGACTGGTGTAACACCGAAGTGCAATGAGCACAGAGTGGATAAGTTATCCGCTTGTGTTCTATTACGGCTGACAGACAAATCCGTTAGTGATGGTTAGGACTTCGTGGCAAAAGACACTTCCATGTATGATGGCTCACTGTGTAGAGCTGGTAGATCCGGTTCAAATGAGCGTATGGTGACTACACTGCGGGAAGCTAGAGTGAAGAAATAGAGGATTACTCCAAATGATCCATGAGCACGCGCGTCGAACGTGTGAGTTGCTGTTGCCAAGTGGCGGCTGTTCAATCATTTCGCTCAAAGCGCTCTTCTCTAGTTTGACAGTAAACACATCGGCGAATAAAGGAACCAGTGGTAAGCCCCTAGCTAGCCCGCCTTTTTTGTCAGTATATCTATCCGGCAGAGCGTTGTGGGTACTCTGATGAAACAGCTTTTTCAGTTCTTCCACTGGTAAACCTATTTGCGTTAGCAGGGATATTAGTAAACAATAATGTCCCGTCGAGCGAAAATAGTTGCTTGTTGTCCACATTTTGAGTTCGATTGATGACTACGAACTAAAATCTGTCACGAAAACTATAACGCGTTAGCTTTCTTCTTGTTGGTTCTAGCAGTTCGACCAACCACTTTGCCAACCCATGATACGGTGATTTACTCATATCTAGTATGGGTCGTAAAGGACCCCTTCTTTGAGTATTTTAGGTAAGCCATACAATCTGATATTAATAGTGCCGATAGGAGGAATTCTTTTAAATGTCAACGAATGGCTTAGCCCGTTTTATTTCATTTGGATATGGACTTTTCAATTTGCTTCTCATTGAACGCTTTCACGAACTTAGAAGTATCCTGAAGTTATACACTCATCTTATGGTAGGATACAGATTTGTCCATGATAACGATACGCTCGCCTTTGTCTGACCGCAACAGTATAATATCCTCGTTTTCCTTCAGTGCTTCTAGTTTGTCTAAGTGCTCTGTTGTCACTTCATTATGATCGCACTTTGGCATTGCGTAACACTACGCACCACAACTAAAAGCCACGCACTCGGCGTCATACGTTCTGCAGCTAGAGTTCGTAGCGCAGTGTATGGTGGTTTTTTCAAAAGATTTACTTGCTCCGCGCCGTTCACTGTGACATTCCAGTACAAAACAAATTTTGCGAGCTTCTCTGTGTGAGTTCCACAAGTGTTAGTACGGCGAACTTGCCCATTTTCGCTGTCAGTCTATTGCTTATCTTCCGTGGACCATAGACTGCGTGTCTGGTGTTTCGGTGACAGATAAGAGTTGCGCGCAGCTACGCAGGGATATGATCTGCGTTTTTGTCAGTAGATTCTTTGGCGACCTTACTGCGGCTCCCCCGGTTGTGTACTACACATGAGGAAAGATAAATACATGTATCATTAGTATAGAGATACGAATATATGTGTGTGTGATATTCCTTCGTGAACGAAGTCGTACAAAAATTAGGGCATGTTGATGTGCTTTCTCATTGCGAAGGGGCCATCGGTCATTCGAATATGGGTGGTAGGAATGGACCGACTCCAGCCATTCCACGTCGGTATAGATGCACATCTGGCGATGCTCTCACGGATGACGCAGAGCTGGACGCAACATTCTGGGTGTCTGTTTGTTATTCATCCCCCTGCAGCACGACGGCCAGCCCAGTCCACCTGTGTGAACTATCAAAACTCTATGGTACTCCTCTGGGGACTAGTTACAAGTGCTCCGACTCGAATCGACGTTTATCAGTCGCGTGTGTCGTCGCGTGTATCCAGATTGAGACCTGCGACTCCATCGTGCCTTATAAAACTCCCTGCTTTGTGCTTATGATAGTTGAAGTTATGGCCTACATAAATCGTGCTACGATTGGGTTCTTCTCTATCCATGTGTCTTAGTGCACAATGACCATGGCTGTCAGACACTTTCTAGCGCAGGTGATCTGAAGGTGAATTTGGCTAGGTAATGCATGCTCTAGAAACCTCCACGTAGGTGATCGCACCCCCGCCACGGTTCACTGAACATTGACTTAAAGAGAAAACAAATGCACTTTCTGTGGTTACTCCACAATCCAATTCAGTTTTGATTTGTCAGTGTCAATTTGTTTGACTAGAAGACTTATCTTCATGCCTGTACGTTTGGAAGATAGCCCCATTATTTAAGCCCACAGTTGTTGAATAGATAAATCTTGTGACGCTTATAGTGTGCACCTGTGTACAATCTCGGCTTTGTTTGTCACGCTTATGTATCCGGTGAACAATATTGAGTAGGTGTGTCATTTAGACGATAATTAAAGAAGTAATGTGGGCATTATCGATGTTTGGATGCATCTAGCAGGGCAATGAACAGAAGCTGAACTAATATGTTGTCACAAATATAAATGCCATCACTGCTTTCTCCTCAAGCAACGATTCGAACCTAGGTGGTTCTCTGTGTTGCACTAAGAATGTCTAAGCAGTCGACCACATTTTAGATAACATTTAATGACACATCATTCCAGCGATTCTCGCTGGAAGGTAAATGCAGCCGAAGGGGAGTGGAAAACTATATTTATGCGGCAGATTCGCTGCTGTTGCCCTTATCTAGCCAACGGTCGTTCCATTAGTTAAAGGAGAAAAGTTACGGGAATGTAGCGAAAGACGACCCTGAGGATTGCTTCCCAGTGATTACAATGGGTTAGGCATGAATTTAAACTTATTAGCTTATGTGTCCCAACAAGGCACCAGGCTCGGGAAGCATATAGTTAGCCGAATGTTCTAAGCACTGTGTGCTTGACGCTCAATCTAGTTCGAGAATCTGATTTTTGGTACACCTCCAAAGGGTACCTGAGTTTCCGGCACAAATTCTCTACTAATAACTTGTGCGCTATGCAATTTCGTGACGCTTCTAAACCAGTATGATATTTGCACGTGAAATCTCTTTTTATTTTTATCATTCCACAAGTGGACTAATGATATGTTGCATAGATTTGGGTGGTTCTCCGAAGAATTGTTGACATTATATATATATATATATATATATATATATATATATATATATATATATATATATATATATATTCATCCTAAATTGGTCAGAAGCGTTCATGAGATACAGCCTGGTTGTAAGCAATTCCAAACTTATTCCAATCTAACTATGTGTTCTCTGTTTTAGGATCTAGCAACTGCGGTTATCTTGTTTGGAATGTCAGAATCACTACCAAATTGTACTCTGAGTTCATGGTATCACGCCGAATCTGCGCCCACTGCTATTATAGACAAAGGACCGAACTTAGCCTTCTCAGCAATATGGCCTCGCCTAACGCCGGATATTGACGGACACGCCTACTCTTGCGTGGCGACAAATGAACTGGGAAGTGCTTCCCAGAATTTTTATATAAAGTCACCGTGTAAGTTTTGCGCAGCAAAGCGAGTTTTGTAACAGGCCAATCGCATATTCATTTGTCTTCGTCTAACAAACCATCTGAACGTAAGAACACACGCAGACCGATTAAGAGAGCTCCCGAATGGGACCTTACCCACACACTATAGTGTACATGTAGAACTTCACATTGTGAAACTATGTTGGCTAGCGTAAAACCCGGTAAACCCAAGACAAGCCTACTGCTTACTCTGAAGTTACCATTCCTTTGGAGCACTCTCGAGCGGAATTTAATGAGTGGTGAAGCACCACTTTATTTGATAAATCAGTCGTTCTAATTTTGCAAAAAGTATATCGCAACTCATCATCCACAGCAGACCTTAGTTCGCAGCTGTCATGATGGTTCGGTTACATAGTTTCGCATGCCAGTAAAACGGAAGGGTGCCTTTTAGTGCCAATTTGTTTGTGATGATAGGCTGCAGCTTTTTGATCCGATTGGTGTTCTGATTCCGTGGTAAATTATATCTTCTGCTTCCTTAGTTCACTCGATCAGAGAAAATAAGCGCAGTTCGTATTTGGACGGTTAATTGTGTGGGTAATTATCTCTAATCAGACTACCGCGTCATTCACACTGACGCCCACTTAATTGTGGTTCCAATCGCACAAGATTTTCACTGCGCGATTCAGCCCGTCACACGACGGAGCTGAGTACCTTGCAACAGGTGAAAGTTGTACAGCTCTTTTCTGGATGATTTCACGATGAACATCAGCTCACCGTGTGCCAGAACACACAAACGGCCGGTTCTCTTTATGTATCCCTTGCGTTCTACCAGACATGGCGGAGGCGGCCGCCTCGTGCTTATTTGAATGCTGTCCCATGCACATGCAACTCTTTATGTCACTTGGCTCCACGTTCTGCAATTTATTGGATAATCCTAATCGTTTCATAGTGAACTAATGAGAAAACCAATTTCAGCGGCTCCAACCCCAATTAATCTACTTCGGACTGTCAATAACTCCTCCACTTCCGTCGTATTGCAATGGAAAGCTGGGTTCCACGGAATTGAGCTGAGCTCATTATCCCGTATTGATCCACCAGAGTCTTCGGGAAACGGAGCACTGGATAAAGTCTGTTCTGGCTTACGAAATTTTATCCATGAGTGGAGAGCAGCGAGCCGTTGTGCACAAACGTTCACTTTGGATCTGTGGGATCATGGTTTGAAGGATGAAACAACCAAGTTCCCATTCAATTCGACGTTAAGATACCGGCATGACGACTGGATGGGACACCTTCCGGATGGACAACACATTGGCTACTTTCCTGTTGGTCATACAACCGTCGTAAATGTATCGGGTGAGTACTTTGATCGTTTGGACAAGCGTTCTATATAGTTAGGTTTAGCTTGGTATACATTACGGTTGCCCTAAGTGCACCGATGGGGCTAGATGTGTACAGTCGCACGTTCACTACCCACCACCTCTAACGCTCCATTGACTGTTACAAAATTATTCCTTCTGTGACACAGCAACTGAGGTGCACTTCACAATCTCAATGAACTAACGAAGGTTGATTAGGACGTACACCTTGCCAGCTGCAGAGCTTTCAACGGCATTTTTGAGAGCGCGTACTTTCCATTAATTCCGACAGTTAGGTGTTATACTGGCTTGCACTTACACGGGTCTAGTGGGAGTACGTTGAATATTGGATGCAGAATTTAAGTGCATAAGTGCTTACAGACTCTGGGCTCAGAATGCTCCGAAAAGTTTTCTACTTGCATGGCTTCGCTGTTGCATTCGCTTCTGAAATTGCAAGCCGCTACCAAAATCGCCACTGAGTCCGATTTTCAGGTGTGAATAGTCGGACTGCGTCTAAGTTCAATGTTCTATGTCTTCTGGTGGGGCATACAACCCCTAAGCAGTAGGTGCAAGAGCAGCACCAACTGTTATGGAAGCATACAAAATGTGTTTAACTCGGCTACGCCAGAAACCTATGGTTTTAAAAGAACTATTTTTTCTTAAGTCAGTGGCAAGCAAAAGCATGCAACCAGCAGTCCTTACAAAATTTTCCGTTTGACCGCTGAAATCGAGAAACCGTCACCTTATTGGAATAGTTCCTCGGTCTCGTGTATAAACACCTCCTACTGCCTCAGATCATAATTGCTCAAACTTGACTTTCGGAACTAAGCATATATGTTCGTTAGGTTATATATCACATGCACATTTGTCCTTCAAGTGGCGGGCCCTCTATTCATCATAAATATCCGTTCGTACCATACACATTTTATGCTAAAAAGCAATGTACCACTGCAACAGATAAAAGTGTGTGTGCATTAGATTGTGAGTACTAATTCCATAAATAATCTAGAATTGATTTTGCAGAAAGATGCGAGACGTTATACACTTGCATTTATGTTCGGCTGATATTTTAAGTTGAATCATCGCATGGTATACTCCCTCAAAATTACTGTGAAAGAAATTTTTGCGTCATACAACAGTAAGGAATAGCAGAACACTTCCAGTAACCTCCCATTATTACGTCTTCTTTAGGTGACTAGTTTGAGCAAAACCTCACGACTCTATTCAGCAAGGTTCGACGGTTAATGAGTTAGTCATATCCGCTTCTTCGGCGACCACTCTTCTAGGTACTGTGTCTGACATTAATGCCAAAACGAATGAGGTGTGAACATCGCGTTACCAACAGTATGAGCGTACGCAGACAACCAGCAATGAACTCGGCGACATTATGAGAATTGAACCCATGATCACCCAGGCCAGAGTCACTTGTGCACTGACTAATAGGTCCTCAAAGTTGATCTTCCACCAGCCAATTGTTCGAACATGTTGAGTTAAACTTCAACTACCGTGGCAGCAATTAACCTATTGTTTATATGCTCGATTGGGCCGTTTTGGCAACACACTTTCGAAATCCAAGTTGATGGATCACTAAAATATCGCACGATCGGAAGTAGCATTAAACCACCCGCAACGTGTTTGAACCAGATCATTTTGGAATACAACTGCCGGATGGTTTGGAATGACACTGTTCGGAAATAGCACTTAGTCCTGCATGCACTTCTACTTAACCACATTCTCTCTGACTAATATTCCATAATGTGTGAATTTGTTGAATTCCAATTTCTACGCGCAGAGCAGGTAAACGCATTTGTGCTTAGGGATAGTTTATCACGGCCCACTATCAGACAGCAGCCATTGGCTAGTCTGAAAAAGCAACAGACATTCGTTGTTTTGTACGAAAGGCAAACGCACGAGCCGAAGTAAGAAGATCGCTCCGCTAAACGAACTATTGAAACCTGATGAGTGCCAAACTACATGAGTAAATTAAGGTGTCGCAAGGAGGGGAAGAACCAATAGGGAAGCAGGGAAATACGTACTTATGTGTGTGTGTCTGGGGTTGTGTACCTGTGTCTGTTTAGACTAGCCATCAAGCATACTGACAGAATACACGTCACCTCCGCTTAAGCATGTGATGCATCGAAACCATATCGATTCTGGGGTCTTTGTTCTCTGCCCGTCCTACCGAGCCACGTGCATTAAGTAGTTTCGTCACTGAAGATTCGTGACACATGCTCCGTTTGTCTGATACTTGTGAATAATCTCCGGGAGTTGACTGTGCGGCCATCCTCCAGCCGGTAAGTGCCTGGCCCACATGCACGCATTATTCTTATTGGATCTGATAGCGTGTGTTGTCCTTTTGATGCAGCGTTTACCTTCACGAGTACGAATGTCCCGGGTTGGAGCGGAGTAGTAAGCTGCTGGTAAGTGGTCTGATGTCGATGGCGATGATCTAACTCGTCGGAATTATCGGTTGCAAGAATCGAAAGTGCTACATTCAACTTTGTCCGAAGGGCACGCCCAAGCATGATTTCAGCTGGCGTTTTGTCTGTGGCTCGGTGGTTTGCGGTTCGGGAAGAAAATAGGGCTTGTAAAACTGCATCCTCCCAACCTGTACCAGATAAGCGAACAGTTTGGACAGATTTTTTGTAGTACTACTGACTAGCGTATTTGGTCATCCAGCTACTTGCCTAGTGAACGCACCAGATAAGTGGCCTGATGTACTCTCCACGATGCGTGAGTAAATGCCGCAACTATAGTAGTCGGAACAAGTGCTACACGTAGCAGCATTTCGGAGGTCATCTCAAAATTGCTAATAGAGATTTCCAAATGTTCACATCAAGATCATATGTAAGAGTAAAGGTGTTAAAGGTGCACACCAGCATTTTGCATTTCGGGGAGTCTATTACCTATTTCTCGGTTGAAAGTCCAAGGACGAGAGAGTCAAATACTGTAATTAGCTTTTTGTCAGAACTCAAATATCCTTAGGTTTTTATCTTCTTATTTCGCTTCCTTCAGGTCTTCTGCCAGCACGACTATATTCGGCAGCCATCCGGAGCAATAACCAGTTGGCAAAAAGTGTGCAGTCAAAGCGAATATACTTCTTTACTAAAAGTACGTTCATCGGTTGATTTGGACAAACACGGTGTAACCTAAAGGGAACATAGTGCCATGCAAGCGTACATCCTGGTTACTTTTATTTCCTGATTCGTGCCACTGGGACCGCGAACGGCAACTGGGTGCCGTTTTGCGTTATACCACCCACAGCTCCGACTGCACACAACTTGTGTGACGTAACACCGGATATATGGGCGCAGGTGGAGTGCGAATATGAGGCTTAACGTGCTTCGAACCGCTTCATCATCCTTTACTTTGAACTTCCTGGATTTGCAAGTTCAAGAATCTATACATGTGCAAGGCACGCAGCAAGTGCTGGAAAGAAATCAATTCCTTCCAGTATAGAAGTATCTTTGAAATCATCCCGTCATCCCTGCATACGATTGGTTATATACCGCAGTATGTTAACAGAGTGGTGGGGAAGGGAATTCTCGTAATTTTTAACCCAATCTTACGGCTCACGCAGAAATAAAACCTGTATATAACAGCGCTTTCTCACAGCTACAGCTGAAGCCCTCCTAGAGATGGTATATATTTATATATATGCCGCAAACCTTTGATATATATATATATATATATATATCTCAAACACTCGGAAGCAACAGTTCGCCAGTAGGGATGGAAGTAGTGCGCTTCCACTAATTTATGACATGGAATGCTTTGAACATTGGTAGGCCTGCTAGATTTCTCCGGACCCATTAGCAAAGAACACTTCACGAATTCAGTGAACAGCGGGGTGAGTGGGTTGCTATTTGGTGAAGTGGAGAGTCGGACAACCAAAAGTTGTTTATGCCACATTTGTGGACAGCGATACAACATTCCTTGTCAACACATGATAATAATTAAGTACGGACTCTTTTATGACATTGGAGACATTACAATTTAATTCTATTTTAATATTGTAAGGTGCTTAACTCATGCTGAACAGTTGGGTTTTGCCACACATTGAAATACATAGAACACCACGCTACAGTTCACATAGACACCCTGGGCATGCGGTGGGAGAACTTATGGTGCGCAGAGAATGTAGTGGCTAACTCCTGACAGATGGTCTAGCTACTGCTGGTACTGTTGTGTCATGGGTTCATGTCCTGGACGCATCCTCTTGGCGACCACTGAGTGAGTTGGCTTACGCCCTTCTCCCTGCTATGATCCAGGACACCAATCCGCATGAGTCAGTGAACTGACTATGTGCTATACCCGCTGCCTTTCGTGTATACTTTTAATCAAAGGCTTTGGCTGAAGACCTGAGTCGTTCTTCTGTCAGTTGTGGGAACCCTGCCAGTAACCGTCCTCTTCGGAAGTTAGGAAGTGGTCGATGGCCCTCTTCCCGTAAAACCTAGCCATAGGAGACAACAGGTCTACGGGTTATAAGCTCTCAGCTCGATTGGCGTAGAACACGAGCGCCACGCATTGTCTCTGACGGAGGGAGAGCACCTCCGTGGGCTCAGTAATTTGCTACTGCCAACCTCAAGCCAGGCAGCCCATGATCAAATTGGTACAAACCCGCCAAAACCCACCTGCATCTGGCCGTGGTCGCAGGTGTATCCTACTACGGTCGCAAAACATATATGAATCGTTCCAGAACCTCAAAGGCTGCGTGTGACGGGCCTCAGGTAGATCCAAATCTGTCTCTGCAATCACATTCCCGAGCTGGATCTGCTCCCCACTAATTTGTGGGTCAGGGTATTGAGCCAAAGGCTCCGGGTGGAATCTCTCAAGCACACCTCCGAAGCACAACCGCCACCTCGCGTGCGATTGCCCACCAATGCAATCGTATGCCTGCGCGCAAAGTACTCAGCATCGGGTGCTGGAACGTGCGCACACTACTGGATCGGAACTTGAGTGAGCGCCCCGAGTGACACACTGCACTGGTCGCGATGGAACTGACACGTTACAACATCGATATTGCGGCGCTGAGTGAGATTCCGCTCGCTGAGCAAGGTAAGTTGCATGAAGCAGGTGCTGTCTACACATTCTACTGGGTGGGCAACGCCGCCTCAGCACCACGTGAACATGGGGTCGGATTTGCACTGTCCGATCGCCTAAATGCCCAGCTAGTGGGTAAACCAAGAGACATCAGCGCGCGTCTGATGACTGTTCGCCTACGACTCGGAAGAGTTAAATTTGCCACTTGTGTAAGCACGTACCATGTGTTATCCTGATGACACACGTGATCAATTCTGCACTCATCTATCCTCTGTGATGCAGTCTGTGCCGAGCAGCGACTGGCTTTTTCTGCTGGGTGATTTCAACGCGCGCGTTGGGCGTGATGCATCGGTGTGGACAGATGTTATCGGTTCGCATGGCATTGGTTCAACGAATTCGAACGGTGACAGGCTACTCTCACTGTGTGCCACTCACGGCCTGACGATCACGAACACTCGGTTTGCACTGAGTGCGAGTGATATAGCAACTCGGACGCACCCACGGAGTGGTCATGCTCACCTGCTCGACTATGTCACCGTACGTCAGCGTGATATGCGTGAAGTGCGCATGACACATGTACTGCGTGGAGCTGAGTGTGGCACTGATCACAAGTTGGTTCGGACCAAACTGTACATATATTTTCGTAAATCGATGTATTGCAATCCCGCCGTGAATCGGAGGCGTAAATTTAACATTCTCTCCCTCGGTACTTTGGCGAAACGTATTGAGCTGGAGAAGGCTATGGTTGCACGCCTGTGTGATGTGAAATGCATAGCCACAGTGGGTGACCTGTGGCACCACATTCGCGACCAGGTGACAGCTGCTGCCTAGGACACCATCGGGCGCACAAACTGTAAGCGGCCTGATTGGTTTGATGAGAACAATGCGGCGATTGGCGCATTGGTGTCGGAGAAGAATGCAGCATTTGCTGCACATGTCGCAGACCCCAGTGACTTGGGGAAGAATAGTCAGTTTTGCAAACTTCGACGGCGACTGACCCGAGAGCTCCGTCGCATAAAAGATGCATGGTGGACTGATAAAGTGAAGCAGATGGAATGCTAAGCCGAACGCCGCCAACACAAGGAATTCTTTGACTCCTTGAAGGCGGTGTATGGACCGAGATTGGAGCCGCTGAGGACGCTGATCGATGGTAGTTCAGGCACTACCTGCACACAGATTGCAAACATAATGCAGATCTGGCGGAAACACTTTGACTGTCTCTTGAACAACCGTTCAGAGATCGACTGGCCCACATTGCACAGCCTCAAGCAGCACGATGTGAAGGCCAGTCTGGCGGACACGCCGAAACTGGATGAGACGCAGAGAGCACTAGCTCAGCTACGAAACGTCAAGTGTGCCGGGGCCGACGGGATCCCGCCTGAAGTATTGAAACACGGCGGACCCGTGTTGGTGACTGCGCTGCACCATTTGGAACAACGCGTATTGATTAAGGAGGAGGTGCCTCCTGAGCTGAAGGATGCCCTTGTGCTATCACTGTACAAGGGCAAAGGGAGTAAGCAATGTTGCACGAATTATCGTGGCATCAACTTCCTGAGTTGTGTGGGCAAGGTGATTGCCCGAATCCTGCTCAACCGCCTCGTCAGTCAGGTTGTGGAACCGAACGTGGCGGAAGAGCAATGTGGATTCCGTTCTGGTCGCAGCACTATAGATATGGTGTTTGCGGCTCGTTAGTTGCAGGAGAAGTGCAGAGAACGACACCAGCCTCTGTGCTCGCTTTTTGTTGATCTCACCAAGGCATTTGATACGGTGAACGACGAGACATTGTGGCTGGTGTTGGGTAAGTTAGGTCGCCCGCATACGTTTGTACGTTTAATTGAATATCTGCACAGTGGCATGCGAGCTAGGGCGTGGCTGAGTGGAGAGACTTCGGATGACTTTGCAGTTGTCTCTGGTGTGAAGCAAGGCTGTGTCTTAGCTCCTACCCTGTTTTATATATATCTTCATGCAATATTGCCCTGTGCTTTTAATGCCGCTTGTGCTTACGGTATTCGTGCAGAGCACCGTATTGATGATGGGTTGCTGAACATCCGTCGTTTCGGTGCGATAAGACTAGTCTGTGAGACAACTATCCGTATGTTGCTGTTTGCTGACGACTGTGCGTTGTTTTCACACAGCGCTGATGAGTTGCAGTTGCTCTGGCTTTGACAGCAGCAAATTCGGGCTCACCTTCAACACAAGTAAAACTGTCTGTCTCTTTCAGCCTTCACCGGAGGTGCTGTGTTCAATATTGCCGCGAATCAGCATTGGTGCTGAAGTATTAGAAACCACCTCCCGCTACTGCTACCCTGGGCGTGTGATGTCGACTGACCAGCAGCTACACAGTGAGCATCATATCCGCGTCTCGAAGACAGCGGTGGCATTCGGGAAACTAGAGTACCGAGTGTGAAACAACCATCTGTTTACCATTGGCACGGGACTGATGGTGTATAAATCCATGGTGCTGTCCTGCAGAGAAAGGTGGACGATGTACCGGCAGGAGCTGCGATATCTCGAGCGGTTCCATCAACAGTGTTTGCGACGGATTCTGCACATCGGATAGGGCGACAGAATTGCGGACACGGAAGTGTTGCGCCGAAGTGTAATGTATGCAGTGGATTGCATACTTTTGCTGATACCTCAGGTGGCTCGGTCATGTGAGCCGTATGAATTGGATGCAGATACCGAAAAAAACTATTATATGGTCAGCTGAATGTTGGGAAGCAGCATGTGGGAATAGCAAAATTACGTAACCAGGACATGATGAATGTGAGCCTTTCACGTTCTAATCCTGAATTCAGGTCATGGGAATTAAATGCGGTTGATCGGCGTGCATGGTGCGATCTGATCACGAAGGCTGTTGCCGAAATGCGCGAGCAAGACCTCGCGTATGCAGAGAAGAAGCTGCAATTGCGAAAGCTTCAAGCGCCGGTGGCTTGTACTCCATCGACATCGAGCGTATGGTGCTGTAGCACATGCGATCGCGAGTGCCGGAGTCAGGCAGACCTATTGCGCCATGAGCGAGGCCACTCGGGATCACTGACGAAGCGACGACGGGTACTGCAGAGAACGTAAACAGAACCGGCGCAGCGTTTGTAGGTACGGTACATTCGACTTACTAACCGTGTGCTTGCATACTATGTCTTTTGTCAGGTGGTAGGTTTGCAATTTTGTCCTAATGCTTTTCTTTCTCATATTATTGTCTACCTGTACTATCATCTATTAAGTTGAAAACGTCGCTGAAGCTAAATGTAATTAACTTCGATGGCATTTTCGCGTTTGTGGCATTTCCTTAAAATATATTTTCTGACCTCTTGTACTTATCTCGAATTCGTTCGTAATCAATTTTTTTATATTCCCATTTAGTGAAGAGTTATGTCTCCGTATCTGTATGCATTATTCGATTTACTTTAGTTTATCTATTCGTTTTAGGTGATTGTCTGTTGCTTGATATTCCTGTGTGCAGGTTGACAAGGTGTCTAGCTGTCTATTACCTACTACCGCGTTCATACTGGCTCCAGGAGACAGTTGGTCGTTCCTAAAGGGTCGGGGTGCACCGTCCTTGTGGTCGTGCTAGGCTCGAAGAGTAGTTCCATGCACTCAGTGTGGAGCGGACTACGGTCCAGCCACCGCTTTGTGTGCTCCTAATTCCCCAAATACAGCGTGCTTCTGTTTGTCTGTGAAGGAGTGTGGGCCGGCTCTGTTGATGAAACGTGGCTCCCATCCGCATGCCTCCCGGTCTTATTCCTTCAGTTTTACTCTGGATATGGGGTGTGTGGTTGGAGCTGTGGGTGGTGCAGCGCAAGCCACTCATGGTCCCCCTGTAGGCGCAGAGGTCCTGTGGCTGGCCACATTGATAGATAAATCCGTAACCGGATGTCGCCAACCATATATATAAACAAATATATATATATATATATATGGTTTAACAGTTTAACAGTCATCTCGTGGACAAGTGTACTCTTTAGGTGTTCGCCGGTGAAAATGCCGTATCGACAGAGGGTTCACGAAAATCTCGCTAAACCCCGTTTTATGGGTGTTGATTAACACTGTTCAAATTTGCAAAATGCCATATTGTCCGCCGGCTTGTCCTGCTGCTGACTCACCCGCTTCACAACCAGAAGCTGAATTTCGGTAAGATCCTGGGAACTGCTAGATCATCAACGAACTGTATCCGCCGGTGCGGAGCACAGTGAACTTTGGCGGTATATACCTCAAAGCTGAAGTGAAGCTTGCCCTCTGACCGTGAATCCTGGTGGTCAAAACGAGCTGCTGAGATGGAAGGCGCTGCTTCGGCTGGAAACTTCCGCAGTTTATTTCGTCTCATCAAGTCCCCTCGGTGCAATTCACACGCTATCAGTCAGAAGCTTTGTGAGTCAGACTGCACAAAAATCCCCAACCTGCACAGACATCTGGGTCGCTGGGTAGAGCACTTTGCTTTCAAATCTAACTGCTCAGCACAGCCCGCTGTGACACCTCCGTTTTCTTCGGATGGCGCTTGGCTTAGCTCCATAGGTGCTCTTACCGAAACTGAGATTCGAAGAGCAATCCAATCTTTGAAGCGTCATAAAGCTCCCGGTCCTGGCAGCCTAGCCCCTGCTGTATTCAAAAATGGTGGGAATGCACTTGTCAACGAAACGCTATCACACTTCAAGAGGATTTGAACAGGAGAGAAAGTCCTAATTGCTTGGAGGGAACCGGTCGTTGTCTCGATTCATAAGAAATACTCCGTGAGGATTGCGCCAATTACTGCGGAATTTCGCTGATTTCCGTTGCCTCCAAGTGTTTCGTGTCTGTTCTACTCCGCAGACTCTCAGAGACTCGAGAATAGATTTACCGAGAGGAACAAGCGGGTTTCCGTCCAGGCTAAGGTTGCATTAAGCACAAACATTCGCACTCCGCCGAATTCCTGAGCTCCGTCACGTCCACCGACAGCCAACAGTCGTAGTGTCCTTGGAGATCGGAAGGGCTTCTAACTCAGTAGATAGATTTGCGTTGTTAACCGTCTATTAAATTAAGGTGTGCTCGGCAAGTTTGTAACCATCTTGAAGGATCTCTAAAGTCACACGTCAGGCAAAGTCAGAGCGTACGGCACGCTTTCCAATTCGTTTGCTGTCACCAGCGGCGTACGCTAAGGTTGCCCTATCACACACTTCCTCTTCAATTTTTCCATTGAAGATGTCGTCCAACAAGGACTGGAAGACCCACAAAACTGTGGTATTGAGTTTCTTCCAGGCTACAGAGTCGCCGATGATATCGCTATGCTCGGGGACGATCCTCAAGCCTTCCAGGGCGCTCTGAACCGCTTAGCGATGGAAACAGCTAAGTATGGTTAAGTAGGTTTTTTACGCCAGCCAAATGTAAAATACTACTCCAGGATTGGCAGGTGCCTGTGCCTGCCCTCACTACTGCTGGCGACGTCCCGGAACAAGTCCACTGCTTCACTTATCTAGGGAGTTGCTTCACAGCTGGCGGCTGTATTGGGGGTGAAGTCTGACGACAGATCGCAAAGGCCCGCCCTAGATTCATCAGGCTGAGACAGTTTTGTCGCCGTTGCGAAGTCAGTCTCAAACTGGAGGGCAGGGTACACTTGGTCTCTGTCCGTGCGATCCTCTTGTACGGCTGTAAGACATAGGCTTTCGCTCCGAAGATATAGGACAACAGCCGTTGCCTGCGAAGGATCGCTCGTATATGGTGGAAACATCACACAAGCAATACGGAGTTTCGTGAACGAGTACTTGGAGCCAACAGCCCATGCCTCCGACATCGCACATGTTGGCTCGGCCATATTCGCCCATGCCAGCCTATCACCTTACAGTCGAGCGTCATTTGCGCTCCCCTGAAGCGACTGGAAAAAGTGCAGCGGCGGACAACCAATGACATGGAGTAGGAGCATAAAGAATACAACCTCAAGCATAGCATCCGTTAGACGAGTCCGCCTTCCAGAATGGGGACAAAGCGATACGGACTGCCAGTGGTTAGAAAGGTTGAAGGCTATGCCGCGTAACAAGCATCAGTGGAGATAGTGCTGTGCAATCGCTTTATTTAGTGGTTAACGTTTCGTTGAACATAAAACTCCAAAACACACAAAATGTGTCAAAACGGCGTGTGTAAAACCTAAAAATATCGTTTCCTTCACAAGTTTTACTTCGTTTCCCCCCATTATTTCGTTATGGATCTGGTGGCACATTAGCTATAATTAGATTGTGGATATATATATATATATATATATATATATATATATATATGTATAATTTTAGGACAGTTAGCTTAGGTGAGGTCACTGTGAGCTGCGAAGTTATTGCAGCTTGCATTGTTACACTTGTGTAGATCTCGGCACCAAATCTGCTATTTGTATAACCTTAGTTATCACACAGAAAATAGTAGGTAAATTTTCGTGGTGTAGATAAGGAAAATTCCATGAAAACAGTTTGCCACTAGCGCCGATAACATTTGTCGTAAAAGATGTTGCCGCAAATATTTTTTGCAACATTTAGTAGTTTAGAATAGGAATCCTTTTTAAAACGAATGCTCGGTGATTTGCTGCGAAATCCCAATCCACGCAGTAAATGCGGTCCTTACCACCATGGCGCCAAGGCTGCGCCCTATTGGGTGATTAGTTTAGAAATGCACCCAAATATGGGAAGATTATGGTCACTGTATTACCCCGATGTCCAGATTCCAGGACGAACGTTTAAATCGAGATGGGAAGATTGCTTGTTCTGATGCAACATAAAATGATATACAAATACGTATCCACAACATTGGACGGGAACTCGTCCACGGATTCATACCTGTTTGTTTGTACACCAGTTAGCTATGTTAATTTACTTATGGAGCGAGTATTTGAGCAGTTACCTATGGCTGTTTATGAGCATTTCAATTTCCATGGTCTTTTAATCATTCTTGTATTCCGGATACTGTGACCTTTAAGGACTCGCCAATGGACAGATATGGCATTATTCTGAGATGTACTTCTCCCTTTTCTATTAAAGCCTTTATTCCAACTGTACCGAAAGGGGTTGTGGTCCACTATTTGAACAGGTTCATTCGTATTCCACCTGGGAACCCTGCTTGCTGTGTAGAACTTCAGAAATCTATGGATGGCGGGATCACTTGGATGTTTATCACACGACCCGGTCCCTCAAGAGAGGTCATCACAGTTACTGGGCTACACACTTCGTCTCCGGTTGCGACCGTACATTTTCGTGACCCACTTTCTTGCACTGCCCTGTCTTGGACCAGACCCACCGAGCTTCCCATATCGCTAGACGGCAAGTATCGACTCAGATACTGCGCTATAGGACAGCCAAATCTCTGCACAGAACTTGTCTACCCTGAGCAAGGTATGTTCTTTCATTCACCTTCAAAAGATTTAGGTGATGCTTTACACTAGTGCTTTACTTGCTAGTTGTTCGTGAACGATAGCTCAATAAAGCCAGAGACAACTCAAATTGGTGTATACCGTGTAAGTAAGCCACATTGGTGGACTGTCATTGCATTTTGCTAATTACCCAGTTTAAAACATGAAGAGCTCAAGATTCAGACCAGAAATGTTGTGCCACTTAATGCAACCACCAATGAGTACGACACTGCACATCAATCTGCTGGACTCTGCTGAGCAGTTTGTGTTAGCAACCTGACGACACGCAAACGTGAGTAACGAACTGTGAGGAGCAATAAAACGACACCGCGTATGCACCACCACCGATCTTTGGGCCGTATTATAGATACGCTCACCGGTGGATGACTAATGTCAGTGAGTCGGCCAGGTCGCAGCTGACTTGATAGTCGAATGCGGTCTTAGCCACTGTACAAATAGTGGTGGCTGATGAGTGATCATGCAGAGAAAAAAAGTATCACTTGCAAGTCGTTTTTCTTATGACATTAAGGAAATGTGTAGCTTTTAGAGGGATATAATGGCCGCTCAGCTAAACGCTATACGTCACTCTGAAGAGCTCCCTTCCCTACACATGATCAATTGGAATATGTTGTAAACGTCCTGGTTGGGTTTCCACTGTCCAAGTTGGAATGGACGAACTCTTTACTCGTTGGTCCCCACTCGCAGAATAGCTTAGACGACACATATCTGTACGGCTAGTCGACTTAGCCGGCAGACGAGTACCCGGAATTGATAAGGCAGGCGGAACGCGTAGTGGCCGCACGACAGTACCGAGATCCGCTGAAAGAAGACTGAGTAGTAGTAAGAGTGCTTTACTGACTTTACCAAAACAGTCATGCTTCCTGCATCGTCATATTTATAGTTTATTAAAACAGTAGTAATTGCATAAAATATAAACTATGTTCGTTGGCACTTGAGTTGCTATGTCGTAGTCCTACCCCCGGGCAAAGATGGGCTGGTTCGATGCTGTTGCATCGTTGGGCTCATCAGAGTTGGTAACTTGAGCGGAGTCCTGGAGATCCGATAGTGTGACTGGAGGGAGTTCAGTAGAAACAGTGCGAGATACGTCGGCCGTGTTCTCACCGAAGACAACTCCGTTTTGGTCGGTGCAGTTGAGTAGACGCTTGGCAGCAGTTTCCGTAGGGAGAGCTCCTTTCTGAACTGGGTGGTTTGGGTCTCTGCATAGCAACTGTGTTGTCCGGACTCACATTATACTAGCGCCTGTGAAACTCGAGTGTGTTGTTCGGGCCCTCTATGTACTTGCGCCTATGAAGCCTAGGTGAGTTTCGCAGGGCAGTGCCGGTCCTGTAACAGAGTCGAAAACTGGGCCGCCTAGGCCTGTATAGCATTTCTACGACTTTGCTAGCCTACTTTCGGCGAAATTAGCAGGTGTTAGGTTTCACAATGAGAAGATATAGTAACTGCTTCAAGCCAGAAGAGGAAGGGTGGGCGTCGAATTAAACAATTGTCAACTGTAACTTCGAATTTTAATCAGTGCAACAGTGCCACCAGTGTCATGGATACACCCGCACCAACTACATCCAGTTGCCATGGGACAAATACTACCGTCACTTCGTCAATTCTCCGAACGCCCCTAGAACCTCCGAAACATGTTGAAAAGAGAAGTGGGTGGACCGTGGTTGCTACAAAGCAAACCCGGAAAATTAAGACCCCAAGCTATTCCTAATGGGTCCAAAGAAAGGGAAGGATACGAGGTTCAACGTGAGTAGGCACCGTCAGCTGTATGCAAACAATCAGAGATATCGACAGCAAACCATGCTACACCAAGATCATTAAAAATCACATATTTGATTCTTCGCAACTTGACGGATTCTCCGAATGAGCAACCACGTTCTTTAAAGTGAATACAACTCGACGACGTGAGCCAGTGGACCTTCTTAGGTGACATCCTAGATATTGTAGTTAAGTCCTCCAAACTGGTGAGAGTCACTTGTCACTCAGCCTCAGAGTGCTGCATGTCCCATTTCTTATACAAATATACCTGTATCTGCTGAACAACTATGTTGGAAACACTAAAACACCATGCTTAACAGAATCAAGCAACAATTTCCCTGGTGGGTGTCTGTGGTATGGTGTCTGTGACGACGGTATCCGTGCGTTGAAGAATAGAGTTGCTCGGCGGTGGCAAGGTATTTGCTGAGCAGCGATCACCAATTCAACCCTGAAAAGTCAGTTATCGTTCAAGTTCGCAATCAGAAACTGCACATCCTCAGGCTATTTGAAACAATACTTATTGATCAACAATGGCCACAGCACTGTGCACAAAAACAGCTGAGAGACACGGATTCGTCTAAGAAAGCGTGCAGCACACTGACTGGCCACTAGTTAGCCACCAATAGGTCCTCTCAGTCACACTTTCTGTACTGTCTATAGTTAGCTGTATGGTTGTGATTGCTAAGCTTGCATGAAATGACTTAGCCATCTCGTAACTTGAGTCTTTTGATTTTCTTGTTTACAAAGAAGTACGTCAATGTCACGTCAAAAAAGGATTAGCGGTAGTCCTACTCCAAGCCGGCAAGGCATCACACTCAAAAAGTTCTAAAAACCGTTGATAACACAAAAGTACCATGTGCATTTAAGAATGCCAAAGGAAACCCCAAACAGCTTGATAAACAAGTTCTCCGAAACGTCACTGAAATCCCAGAATCTTCCAGGAAATACATCAACTCCAAAGGGTTCCCCAGCGAACCTACCGAAATTCGTGTACCTCAGGGTGCAAATGTTTAGGGCCTAATTTCGGTTTCCGAAACCTAGCATTACTTAGATATACAGGAAAGAGACCAATGGCTAGGAAGTCTTGAGTGAACGTGTATCCACCGGTTACAAAAAGCAACGCCAGAACTAGAATAAATAAATAAATACATACAGAAAATGTTTATTCTCGACTAAGCGAAGCACGCCTGCACAGGCATGCTCATGTTAAGAGTACAAAATACGCTCAGATAATGTAAAATGGAACAATGGGATAACCGCATATGTTGATAAATAAATATATGTAAGTAAGCATGTGGGCGTGCCTGGCTGTGTTTATGGGATTTGCAAAGCTGTCGGCCATTTTGATCGTTACCATAACCAATACACAAATAAAAAATCCATTGTCCTAAAAGGAATGGTGGACGGAAAGCCGTATGATGTCAATCCAAGTCAACACGGGGCTTGGCTCTACGGAGGACAGAGAATTTGCATTAATTGTCAGGGTATGCAATCAGTGCCGTGTGCTTAACCGCAAAGCACACAGCTGTTTACCTCGGGCAGGAATTTATCTTTGCTCTGATAACTGGTAGCCCATAGGTCAAGGAGGTGCAGTGCGCAAGCTGGGCACCTGGTTGTGGACAGACAGGACGAAATCGACGTTCGGACATTGGTCAGATTCGCCAGATAAGTTTATGCACACGGTAAGCTTCCTTTCTTAAGTAGAACACTGTTGAGCGATGGAACGTGAGTATACACTCACTATGGTGACTTTTATGCAACCTGAGTTATGTCAAGTCGCTGAAGGTAAGCGCGCTTATTCTTCGATTATATGAGGATTGCAGCCTTAAGGCAGCCGAGACAGCGAGACGATACAAGAGCATACCATCAAGAATGCGGCCTGTAAACGACCGGTAAGTGTTAAAGCTGGTGAAGAAGTTCGAAAACACTGGTAGTGTGTGCAACGCCCTAATTACGGGGCGGCCTAGCACCACAACGGATGAGAGTTCGGCTAGTACTGTTATCCGCGAAGTGACCGAAAGGGTGGATCTCAGCATTCGTACAATCGCTCAAAATTGTGAGACCACCCGGTACGCAGTTCAGCAGATTTTGAAAAACAAGCAAATTTCGTCGGGATGGTGCACGTCAAGTGCAAGTGTTGAACACCTGCAATCCGGAGAAGCGGCTTGCAGTTCGCAGCTGCTTCTTGAATCACGTGGATATTCACTCCATTATTTTCACCGATGAGGCGATATTCCACTTGCACGGAATACGAAAGCAGCACTTTTGGGCGACAGCAAATTCACGACGCTGCCGAGCATCCCATATGCAACACAGCACCAATCTAATGGTTTGGGCTGGACTAACTGATCGAAAGAATGTCGGACCATTTTTCTTTTCCAGTAATGTTACCGGTATGTCAGTGTCTTAATATACCAATGCCATACCCCTCCTAGCATCGTCATACAAAGAAGTGCTCTCAACCTGTGTACTTCCACAGCTACAGGCTGAAGCTGTTTCCAGCACCGTTTGGTGACAACATGATGGTTAATCTGCCCATTATGCGCAAAAGATGCGGGATTATATAAACGAGATGTTCGGTCACCGGTGGATCGGTCGCGGAGGTCCAACGGAGTGGCATGACCCGTCACCAGATTTGGACCCTTTAGATTTATTCCTACGGGGTTGTTTAAAAAGAAGAGTATACAAGACAACTCCTACTTCACTGGAACAAATGAAGAAATGCCTTGTCAAAGAATGTCGCGCTATCAACACGAAAGCTTTGCAAAAGGTTCTGGCCAATTTTCTCCGGTGGTTTCTGCACTGTAACCATAACGCCGGCGGGCACGTTGTGCATCTCCTTCATTGACGCATATATCACTGTTTTATGTTTTTCACGTTAATATACGTAATCACCGTTAGTAATGAGTTATGGACTAAATTGTTGCACGGGTACATGGTGTCATATGAGCGTCGGGCCAGAATGAATGCAACGAGCAAAACTGGTTCGACAGCGTTTAGACTGACCATATCCATGCAACTGGGTTCATGATGCCAACACTTGCTTTCATGATTATGCCTAAGGAATACGGGGAGGATGTGAACGAGATAGCAATATGAGAACAGCCTACGCGGTTTGGTCTTTTTATCGTGTTCATCGGCGTATAGACCCTGTCGTGGGATGAGTGTTAGTAGACAATAACATACCGGTCGCTGAAAGGTGAAAGAAAGATGCCCCTAGAGTTGTGACGCAGAATTCACCAAGCGTTGGATTGTTCACC